AGCAGTGCTACGTTATGTGATATTGTGGGGTCCCTAGCAGTGCTACGTTATGTGATATTGTGGGGTTCCTAGCAGTGCTATGTTATGTGATATTGTGGGGTTCCTAGCAGTGCTACGTTATGTGATATTGTGGGGTTCCTAGCAGTGCTATGTTATGTGATATTGTGGGGTTCCTAGCAGTGCTATGTTATGTGATATTGTGGGGTTCCTAGCAATTCTATGGTTGTGTGTGATATTGTGGGTTCCTAGCGGTGCTTTCGTTATGTGTGAGATTGTGGGGTCCCTAGCGGTGCTACGTTGTGATATTATTGTGGGTTCTAGCGGTGCTACGTTAGCATGTGATATTGTGGGGTTCCTAGCAGTGCTACGTTATGTGATATTGTGGGTTCCTAGCAGTGCTACGTTATGTGATATTGTGGGTTCCTAGCAGTGCTACGTTATGAGATATTGTGGGGTTCCTAGCAGTGCTACGTTATGTGATATTGTGGGTTCCTAGCAGTGCTACGTTATGTGATATTGTGGGTTCCTAGCAGTGCTACGTTATGTGATATTGTGGGGTCCCTAGCAGTGCTACGTTATGTGAGATTGTGGGGTCCCTAGCAGTGCTACGTTATGTGAGATTGTGGGGTCCTAGCAGTGCTACGTTATGTGATATTGTGGGTTCCTAGCAGTGCTACGTTATGTGATATTGTGGGGTCCCTAGCAGTGCTACTTTATGTGAGATTGTGGGGTCCCTAGCAGTGTGCTCGTTTATGGCAGGTATTATTGGGGGTTTTCCTGGCAGTGCTGCGTTTATGTGATATTGTGGGTCCCCTAGCGGTGCTTTCGTTATGTATTGTGTGGGTTCACCTGGGTACTTTCACGTTATGTACGATATTGTGGCCAAGGGTCCTAGCGAGAGATTGCCACGTTAGCAGCGATATTGTGGGGTCCACAGCGGTGCTACGTTATGTGATATTGTAGAGATTACTGCTTGAGGTGCTATGTTATGTGATATTGTAGGTTTCTAGCAATTTGCCTACGTTATGATATTGTAGGTTCCTAGCAGTGCTACGTTATGTGATATTGTGGGGTTCCTAGCAGTGCTACGTTATGTGAGATTGTGGGGTCCCTAGCAGTGCTACGTTATGTGATATTGTGGGGTCCCTAGCAGAGCTACGTTATGTGATATTGTGGGGTTCCTAGCAGTGCTACGTTATGTGATATTGTGGGTTCCTAGCAGTGCTACGTTATGTGATATTGTGGGGTTCCTAGCAGTGCTATGTTATGTGAGATTGTGGGGTCCCTAGCAGTGCTACGTTATGTGAGATTGTGGGGTCCCTAGCAGTGCTACGTTATGTGATATTGTGGGGTTCCTAGCAGTGCTACGTTATGTGATATTGTGGGGTTCCTAGCAGTGCTACGTTATGTGAGTTTGTAGGGTTCGTAGCAGTGCTACGTTATGTGATATTGTGGGGTTCCTAGCAGTGCTACGTTATGTGATATTGTGGGGTTCCTAGCAGTGCTACGTTATGTGAGTTTGTGGGGTTCCTAGCAGTGCTACGTTATGTGAGATTGTGGGGTCCCTAGCAGTGCTACGTTATGTGATATTGTGGGGTCCTGAGCCTACGTTATGTATGTGATATTGTGGGGTTCCTAACGCGGTGCTTCGTTGCTTGTGATATTGTGGGGTTCCTAGCAGTGCTATGTTATGTGATATTGTGGGTTCCTAGCAGTGCTACGTTATGTGATATTGTGGGGTTCCTAGCAGTGCTACGTTATGTGAGATTGTGGGGTCCCTAGCAGTGCTACGTTATGTGATATTGTGGGGTCCCTAGCAGAGCTACGTTATGTGATATTGTGGGGTTCCTAGCAGTGCTACGTTATGTGATATTGTGGGTTCCTAGCAGTGCTACGTTATGTGATATTGTGGGTTTCTAGCAGTGCTACGTTATGTGATATTGTGGGGTTCCTAGCAGTGCTACGTTATGTGATATTGTGGGGTCCCTAGCAGTGCTACGTTATGTGATATTGTGGGTTCCTAGCAGTGCTATGTTATGTGATATTGTGGGTTCCTAGCAGTGCTACGTTATGTGATATTGTGGGTTCCTAGTAGTGCTACGTTATGTGATATTGTGGGTTCCTAGCAGTGCTATGTTATGTGATATTGTGGGTTCCTAGCAGTGCTACGTTATGTGATATTGTGGGTTCCTAGCAGTGCTACGTTATGTGATATTGTGGGGTTCCTAGCAGTGCTACGTTATGTGATATTGTGGGTTCCTAGCAGTGCTACGTTATGTGATATTGTGGGGTTCCTAGCAGTGCTATGTTATGTGATATTGTGGGGTTCCTAGCAGTGCTACGTTATGTGAGTTTGTGGGTTCCTAGCAGTGCTACGTTATGTGAGTTTGTGGGGTTCCTAGCAGTGCTACGTTATGTGATATTGTGGGGTTCCTAGCAGTGCTACGTTATGTGAGTTTGTAGGGTTCCTAGCAGTGCTACGTTATGTGATATTGTGGGGTTCCTAGCAGTGCTACGTTATGTGATATTGTGGGGTTCCTAGCAGTGCTACGTTATGTGAGTTTGTAGGGTTCCTAGCAGTGCTACGTTATGTGAGTTTGTAGGGTTCCTAGCAGTGCTACGTTATGTGAGTTTGTGGGGTTCCTAGCAGTGCTACGTTATGTGATATTGTGGGTTCCTAGCAGTGCTATGTTATGAGATCTACATGGTTGGTTTACTTTCTCATTTTCTTCCCAGCTGCTGCGGAGTCTCAGCGAGTGTCTAAACCTTGATGCACTGAGCTTCAATGTGTGGCGCCAGTTATATGCCAAGCACTTACCGCAATCCTAGTAAGTTACCTGGAGGCAGTCGGTCAACGAGTTACATTCCTCCGTCCTGTGTAAATAATAAATGCAACCTTTAATGGTTATCAGTGCATTCAACATGTAATAAAATGACTGTATGGTTATAGTGATAGTATAGTAATGACTGTATGGTGATAGTATAGTAATGACTGTATGGTGATAGTATAGTAATGTCTGTATGGTGATAGTATAGTAATGACTGTATGGTGATAGTATAGGAATGGCTGTATGGTGATAGTATAGGAATGACTGTATGGTGATAGTATAAGAATGGCTGTATGGTGATAGTATAAGAATGGCTGTATGGTGATAGTATAGGAATGGCTGTATGGTGATAGTATAGGAATCGCTGTATGGTGATAGTATAGGAATGGCTGTATGGTGATAGTATAGGAATCGCTGTATGGTGATAGTATAGGAATGGCTGTATGGTAATAGGATAGGAATGGCTGTATGGTGATGGGGATAGGAATGGCTGTATGGTGATGGGGATAGGAATGGCTGTATGGTGATGGGGATAGGAATGGCTGTATGGTGATGGGGATAGGAATGGCTGTATGGTGATGGGGATAGGAATGGCTGTATGGTGATGGGGATAGGAATGGCTGTATGGTGATGGGGATAGGAATGGCTGTATGGTGATGGGGATAGGAATGGCTGTATGGTGATGGGGATAGGAATGGCTGTATGGTGATGGGGATAGGAATGGCTGTATGGTGATGGGGATAGGAATGGCTGTATGGGGATGGGGGTAGGATGGCTGTATGGTGGTGGGGATAGGAATGGCTGTATGGTGGTGGGGATAGGAATGGCTGTATGGTGGTGGGGATAGGAATGGCTGTATGGTGATGGGGATAGGAATGGCTGTATGGTGATGGGGATAGGAATGGCTGTATGGTGATGGGGATAGGAATGGCTGTATGGTGATGGGGATAGGAATGGCTGTATGGTGATGGGGATAGGAATGGCTGTATGGTGATGGGGATAGGAATGGCTGTATGGTGATGGGGATAGGAATGGCTGTATGGTGATGGGGATAGGAATGGCTGTATGGTGATGGGGATAGGAATGGCTGTATGGTGATGGGGATAGGAATGGCTGTATGGTTATGACTGTGTAGGTTTATGCTGTAGCTATAGCTAATTCTTGCACAGCTGGACTGTTGTGCCTGTTTACCAGTACTCGGTATACGGACTGCTCACAGATTTTCTTTCTCTGTGTATCTGTAACTGGCCTGTCCTGTGGTTCTTAGCTCGGATGTCATTAAGCTGTGTTGCTGTAGATATTGTGTCCTCAAGTCTAATAATGTGATTGGTTTGTGTGTTTTTAACACTTGTCACTAGAACGTGTGCAGCCTTAGGTGCTGCGTATAATGGGTTGTGTGTTATTGCTGTGACGGGTATCTTTGTAACCGGTCTGAGTTTCTTGGTAATAACTGCGCCCACTGGGTGGGCTTTCCAAGTCATTATTCAGTAATATTGTAACATGTCACATCTTATGTTTCAGTCTCCTTTTACAACATCTTGTGGATACCTGGGACACGTCATCAAAAACAGTGAGTGGATAATATTTAATGCCTGTTCTGTGGTTTTCATATGTCTAGACTGTATTAAGACTTATAAATGCTTTAAAATTCACATAAAGTGTTCAAATTGTATTTCGGTACTTTACGCTGTATCCCTTTACCTGCCTCGGATACTTGGTAATTACGGAGTAGACCGGTCATTACGCAGTATCCCTGGGTTTCTGGGTAATTACGGAGCAGACCGGTTGTTGTGCAGTATCCCTGGGATTCTGGGTAATAATGGAGCAGACCGGTCGTTGCGCAGTCTCCCTAGAATTCTGGGTAATAATGGAAACCAAATCAATACTTGCGTAATAACCACAGGCGGTGAAGTACAGCTATAAATCACCGTGAAATCAGTCACATGAATTTCACAATAATAGAAACAGCTGCGCATAGTGATCCCACGATTTCAGCATCAGCCAAAATAGTTCTGGGCAGTGATACTTGTATTTACCCTCACTGATGCTGAGTGATCACTGAAATATAAAGCACAAACTGTCATAGGGCAGTAATATCACACTCACATTTAATAGAAGCCTGGTATGAACCGGCTCAGGTGTGCTTAATCCCCATAGAATGATTGATGATAGCTTTGTCCTCAAAAGCAAAGACTGAAAGCGAGGCACCGCTTGTAAGGTTAAGTGACAAAATGTATTAACTTCACACACACAAAACCTTACATTAAAATAAGCCGGGGGCTTTTTAATCCGTTCTTATAGCCCAACGCGTTTCACAGCTGTCTTCCTCGGGTGTATAATTTTTATAATGGCATATTCCTCCTTTTTAACAGCCGAAATTGGCAGCAGAATTACCCCACATTATAACGGAATGTAACGTGTGGTAAAAATGATACTTATGGCATTCATAAACTCTTACTTTAAGAATTCCGTGAGCTTCTAAAGAAGAAATGAAAGCACACCCCACCTTCTCCTTGCCGTGCCACTCATCCTGTTTGATTGCTTTTGGACCTTCCAGGATGGCAAATTATTTATTTTTCTTCTCATATTCCCACTGTATGGTCTTTTACTATCCACCACTGGTTTATCTATGCCTTTCAGGTAGTTTCTATTTTCCATCCAGTGTTTGTGTCTCATTTTATCCTATAGATGCGGAAATCTCTGCAAGAGACTGTTCAGTCCTTTAACGTTACAAATGGAGAATTTTCTGCAAAAGGTCACAATGTGAGAGATATTGAAACTTGTGAAGAAACTTGCCAGGTAAGAGCTTGTGTGCGAGATACACTAGAATCTCGATAGCATGTTGAAGTAGTGAGTTTTAGTCTCGTGGTTTGAGAAGCTCGGGGTCATGGACTGCTGGGATTTTGTGAAATAGATTTCTCCCCCTGTGGTCTGGGCATGCTATGAGATGACAAATGTTCCAATCTTTAGAAACGCTGAGTTAACTCTCCGCCCTCATGCCCGCCTTTTATAGACTTTCTACGTTGCCATGCAATCGTTCTGCGCTTTTTTTGCTTTTTAAAATCATGGTCTCTTTCGGCATGTAATGTTTCGAGAAGGTGAAGATTTTTACTCAATGTGACAGCAGTGTCTTTTCCCTGTGTTCTAGGCTCTCACACAGAAGATGAAGGGTCGTGGAATTCCTTGGTTTCGAATCTTCCTTGTAGCACTTGTATTTATATCGGGTTTTATGATCCATGATATTAGGACACACGGAAGCTTTGAAGGTAAGCTTTAGCCTTTTTACTGTGTAGAAAACATAACGTTTTATTATTTTTAATAAGAATCCTCAAGTCTTCCTTCTCACTTATTCTTTCCATTAAAAGGGGGCATAACCCCCTCTTATTAGGAATGGTGGGAACATCCACAACCATGCAGGATTTACTGTATTTTTGCACTGGTATGTCCCTGGCACAGAAAGTTTATTATTTTTGCCTATTAATGGTTATCAGTTTACTATACACACGTAACCTGTTTCTGATCTTCATGTTATTCCAGCATCTTCATCGGCAAAACTGCTCCACCAGTCTCGCCTCCTGCCTGTTATCCAGCTGGCGTGGAGCAAAACGTCACATATATGCCAGCAAGGCCATAGGTGAGTGGCAACAGGCATGAGATGATGTCTGTAGCAGGAAGCCCATGGGTGACATGCCTTTCTTTTACGTTGCAGCTGGTTAGAGGCACACGTCCCTCTGTATTACTCTCAAGCAGTTGAAGTGTTGGGGCCGCACCTTGAGCTGCTTTGGGTAAAATTCAAGGAAGGAGCCGTATACATGTCTGGAAAATGCTCATCGTTCGTTAACTTTGTCGTTGACAATTTGCCGTGGTTTATTGAATGGGTAAGAATCCGAGATCATTTAAACTCCGTCATCTCTTGGCAACAGTAAATTTGGCAAAAGCAGTCATCTCAAAAAGGTTTTGTTCAATAAGCAGTGCAATTGTGGCTGGAGCCTTTTACTGTCCTCCTTCCCTCTAATGTGCACACACAGATATTGTATATGTGGTTTGTTTTTTCAGCGGTTTCTACACCACTCGTGTAATGAAAATCAAATCAAAATAGATTCACATATTAGATTGTTAAAATGCCTCCTATTCCAGTTGTTTGCTCAGTGCAATAACCTCCACACATTTTAAGGAATGGGTCCCATTAGTTTCATGTAGTACAAGTCCCTGTGCATCCACCATGTGCTTCTCAAATATAGAGCAGTCTTCTCTCCTTTATTCTCCCATCCAATGTATGTATATATGGAGAGAGAGAAGTGGACACAGAGTAGATCCTGATATGTTTAAAAAGGATAACATTTATTAGTCGCACTTACAAGACATAAACACAATGTCGGCATATCCCCATATACTCTGGAACTCCCACCTGAAAGATTCTCAGCATACTGGAGCTGCCTTCAGATTCAAAATAAAATAAATACTTAGCAAGGATGAAAAAGCATAGTTTATAACTGATAACTGCTTATTTGTCTCTGAGGAAGTCCATGCAGATGGAGGAAACGCGTAGGACTGTTTGCGAAATATTTTATTTTGAATCTCAAGGCTTTTCCAGCTGCCCAGCATCGATCACCGTGTTTAACTGGGAAGCAGGATCCAATCATAATTACAGTGAATGTAATTACGAAAACAACCAGTAGATGGATACCACAAACCACTGTCTACTGGTTTAACTAGGGAACCCATCTTGTGAGATCAGGATTTATATTAGCAGAGGGTTATTATTGGGGTTAGATTTAGGGATAATTTAACAATCAGGATTGATAGTGGAATCTATTCTGAGTTCTTTTTCATTAGTTGAACTAATGAATGCATTTTCCCCATGTTTACAATTTTATTCACACCTAATGTTTATTGGGTATACTGATAGAATATCAAAGGAAAGCCATTTACGGCCTTTAAAAAACAATTTATAATCTGCATGGGGGCACTTGGAGAAACATTAAATTACGGTGGATCAAACACACAGCACAAATTCTAGGTCAGACTAGATGGGCCGAATGGTTCTCACCTGCCGTCACATTCTAGGTTTCTATGTCTTGTTATGGTTCAGAACTTGGACAATTGCTTCCATCTTTAAAGGGTTTATGGGTTAATGTCTTTATAACTAAATACATTTTGAACATTGACATGGACAGCTGCTGTGGATTTATAATACTAGATAACCATGGAGGAATGTCATTTCAAACATACACAAATATTTAATATCCCCTGTCATTTGGGTGACACCACAGCCTAATTATTTAGATATTAATGTTCTCTCTCATCAGGTCCAGTCACGGATCCCAGACTCTCTCTATCAGCTCATTGAGTATCTGCGAGAGCTGTTACTCTATCTCCATCGAAGTTACCTGCTCCCAGCCGTGGGCTACACAGAGGAAACCATTCACAGAGCATGGCAGCAATATGTCGATTCATGCAAGTAAGCACACTGAGCTTTCTGTATCCTACTAAATGAATCTTTCCTTTTCGGCAATGCCAGTATGAACAGGATTAAAGGGAAACCTGTAGACATCATGACCACTACAACTGACTGAAGTGGTTATGGGGCATGTCGTCTCTGGACACCAGGTCCAGCATTACTACTTACTCCCCAGTTTAATAGAGGGTCTATGCAGCCTGAAGCCTGGCCTCCAATGATTATTTTGTGAAACAGATTGGAACCGTGGCCATATTGTTACATTGTTGTTGGAGGCTGTGCTCCAGGCTGCTGGGGACCAAAATTCTCTATTTAAAGAAACACACCATTTTGGTTTTAACCAATTTAGTAGATATACCCTAAATAAAATATCCCTGTATTATTTTCTGCATGCTTTCTGTTTTTGTGGCTTTGTGTACCATAGTCTGTCCACTGACTAATGTGAAAGGTGGGTACTCTGTGTCCTGAGAGGGACAGCTACATGGAATGTAAAATAGTTTCAGCCCTTTTTCAATCAAGTTGATTTTATTAAAAATTCTGTTGAGAAAAGGCCTCCCTGGTATCCCCCGCCCCATATCCCTTTTCTCTAAAATGATTAAAATTGTAAACTCGAACATGTTTCTCACTGATCTTTTGTCTGAATTTTCTCTTTCTAGGGGTGAAGTGTCTTGGAATTGTTTAACGGGCCACGTGAGCCACATCACCCAATCATCCTGGGCGTATCTGCTGAAGGCTACATTGGCAGTTAAAAACTGGGCTCTGGCAATGATAGCTGGGTCCTAAAGACATGTGCATGACATTGGAATGCCCCTCGGATGATCTTAAAACTGTATGAATGAGGGGGAATACAAATTCTGTGTGATTGACTCTCTGATGATCAAAACTGAGCCCCAGCTGGAGGGACCACAAAGGGTCTTTATCTGTTCTCTGTGTATATTCTAGAGCTAATTCAGTAAACACCTGCTGCTTTTGCCTCTGTTTAAATGAGTTCCTGGGGATTAACCTGTGTTAAAGCATTGTCCGGGGCTCTTCGTACAGGACCCTGGAAAGTATTACCCTGTGACTAAACCTGTGGACCTGATCTCGAGATCTCCCAAATACCAGCAACTTGGCATAAACCCAAAGCGTGGATTCTAGTATGGCTTGGAATAAAATGCTGAGTTTGTTGGCGATTGTCATAGATATGTTTTTGTTGGCCCCAGCAGCCACTGAGTTTGTTTTTAACCAAATAAAGAACTTTTTTCCCCAAACCAAGTGCTGTCCATGAGATTTCCTTTGGCCGCTCAGCACGCTGCGTGGACTGGACCCTGAATTGGATGAGCAGACATATTTCATGTCATCAGATTCTCTGTGGAAATGAATTCATCTTGCCACTAAATGGATGACGTTTGCTCTCTAAGTGTTGGGCCGCTTAGTGCAGGTGTGGTAGTAAGAACCCTCTCCCTGTAACGGGTGTAGCGATGGTCAGAACATAATATAATGCTGGATACAATATCGATATGGTAATAGAATCCCACAAATGTTGCTTTATATCTTGGAAGCAATAATGGTAACATTTCTACATTTAGTCTTCTGTTTGAACATGAAATAAACCGGTTCAAACAAGTTTAACTCTTTGTTTATAGGAGTTCTGAAGACGGTGATAATCGAAGCTTGTAGGGAAAGGGTTAAAGGTAGACTTGCACATATAGACAGAAATGAGCAGGAAGTGAAAATATTGTTTGATATTGCTTTAGAAAAAGCATAAATACAGTAACGCGCACTGACAAGTGTTTACTCAGGGGAGGAGTCTAAAGGCGTTCCAGCAGCGCTGAGATTCCAACACAGTCAGAATGTATTGGAAGACACAGTAGGGATTCATAGTCTTGAGCATTTTTCCTAAACTTGACAATAGGAGGAGCTACCACTGTCACGTTTTGTCATTTACCTTGGCTGTCACTAATGACACCTATGAAGGAAAATCTATTGTGTTTGGAGGCTTCTGTGGCCTTCTGATATCCTCCACACACATCAGTACACCACGGACGTGTGCTCCGGGTAGATGCACCAGGAGCTGAAAAGGTTGCACTGGGTGCTATGGTACTCATGGTGGTGACCGCAAGGAACATATTAGGTTAAGTAAAATTTTTCTTCCCCTGCACCCCCAGGTCACCGCAATGCAAGCAGTGGTCACCATTGCAAAAAAATGCCAAGACCCCATAAGGTTACAGTACCGCTTTAACTACAAGACAAAACATCATTTCACCCGTGCAATGGCTATTATCCTATAACTTCTATAAATTATTCCCAGCTATAATCATATACTATAAAGTATTCCCACCTGTAATCCTATTCTATACATTACCAGCTCTAATCCCATTCTATACATTATTCCCAGCTCTAATCCCATTCTATACATTATTCCCAGCACTAATCCCATTCTATACATTATTCCCAGCACTAATCCCATTCTATACATTATCCCCAGCACTAATCCCAGTCTATACATTATCCCCAGCACTAA